CAACCGCACGATCAAACATCGGTGAAAATGAAAATCAACAAGGAGGAGACGACATACCTTCAGATATAGGAAACATGAGGGGAGAGAAAGATCGAGAGGGGCTCGGCGTGCACGGGTTAGTTGCAGCCTCGTCTGGTGCAATTTCCTCAGGCACTTCTTCTGGCACGACTTCTATAGTTGCCCCTTCAAAGACGACCTCCTTTGGTGCAGCCCCCTCGAAAATGTGCAGGCCGCAGTTAGTTTGTTGACGAAGAGATCAAGGTAGTGTCGATCTGCTTGGTAGATTTAAGGTATCCTCACCAAGTATTCGCGAGTGAGCTCGTCAGGTCGAGGCACGGGCTTAGGAAGAACTGCAAAAAAAAGGGTAAGAAGGTTGGCAAGGCTTGGAGACATAATGCAACTAAGAAAGGGGCGTTACCTAAATTGCTAAGTGGCAAGGAACCCGCCAGCTCAGCCCGCCCTCACGACCTTAGCCCACCAGTCGCAATACACATAAAACCAGTCCTCTTTCAATGCTTAATAGACGACAGTCCATAGACTAATTTCCCGACGCCATGTCGAGCTATGAGGTAGAACCGACCCGGTTTCCTTGGGAGGTTCTTGATAGTGTATAATGAAATGAATTTGGTCGAGGTAAGATAATCAACATCTAAGGTGTCAATCCCGAGCCCCCACTATAACATCCAATAGCCTAGAAGGATGCCCCAGCCATTGGGCACGAGCTGCGCAGGGGCTATATTAACCATCTCAAGGAATTCCTGTGCGAAGGGATGGAGAGGGAGCCTGAGCCCAAACTCGAACATCTTCTCATAGAAGTAGACGTGCCCTTCAGGGGGGTTCTCTACAATCTCGCCTCACCTGGGAAACCTCATCCCTATCGACGACAGGATGTCGTACATATCCCTAAAGTAAGCTAGGCAGCCGTCACCTAGGTCGGATGGGCTGCCGACGGATTTTTCCGAAATCTTAGGTGGGGGAATGTACAGCTAAATGGCTAAGCAATGAGGTACTTCATCCCCACCTGTAGGGGAGGAAGACTTGTTACTGGAGGATTCGGCGGGAGACGACCTGACGGAGGCCGACCTGTCGCTCGAGGACGCAAAAGGTGGGGACCCCTCTAAGGGTTGCTTGAAGCTCTCCTCCGAGCTCTCAGACCTCGACCTGAAACTACTGCCCCTATCAGACATTGCCTATGACCTACTTGCGAAAGGAAAAGAAAGAAAACGAGCTACTGACCTCGGCACAAGAGCAAGCGGAAGTCTTGAAAGCGTAAAGTTAGGAGGAAGCCCTCAACTATATATATACAACGTAGGGAGTGATCTCCACTGTACACGTGTCCCCTCGCCAGCGGCTTAGATCGCCTCCCCAGCGGCTCAGCGGTTAAGTGCTCAAGAGCACCTCGAAGGCCGCATCTGACGTGAAGGCCAGGGGCGGCCATTGAATGCTCCTGTTGGGAAGATGGATTGGTCCACGTCACCACTGATAGCTCGACAACAAGACCCAGGATAGGTCGCCCGCCACCCTTCGACGTCTCTCAAGTGAGCGACTCATCGCCCGACCTAAGAGGCGGCCAATGTTGGATGGTCAAACTCTCGCCAACCAACCTGTCCTCAATTTCCATAACTGCCAACCTATTAGGTCGGCCCCAAAGCTACCTAGTGACGCAGAGAATGGACCGGTCCCCTGTCAGGACCGAAGGTCGCTTGGAAGAGCTGAGCCCGAGCAGGGCTGATTCATTAAATTAACACCAACCAAAAGGATCAGACAATTATGCTAACATATATAACTTTAATTATTATTAATTTTATCTTTATGAAAGTAAAACTACCAAAATTATTTTCAAAATTAATAATAATATATTTATATACATAATTTAATAATGGGAGAAGTTCTCTAAACAATTTATTAAATCCAGAAATAAAAAATAAAAATTAGATTTTCCCAAAAAGAATATTATTAATATTATAACTCATCAACAATTCAACATAGGCTACGGAGCACTAATTGCAAGGCACAATAATCTAATATAAATAATTAATTTCATAATTGTAAGTGTATTTGTTATTTGGTCAAATTGTGACCTTCGTTTGGGCCGATCACAATTGACATAAACAACAATAGTCAAATCTCACAAAATTATTAATCAATTATTATTAATTGTTTCCATATGAAAATAAAATACCTAAGTTATTTTCAACAATTAACAATAATATTTCTAAATCAAAACATTCATAGAAATTTAAAAATTGTGCCAAATATTGATTAAATTGTGAATTTATTCACCATAATCAACAATCTTTAATTAGCACAACATGAAAGGAAAATTAAATTGGCCTCCATATTTAAATTCGCCTAGAATATTCAAAACAGAATATAAATTGATAACTAAATAAATAATTATTAAAAGTTAAATAAATAAGCCAAAAAAAAAATACATCTGTAAGTTTGCGGACTGCAACATTTCAAAAATAGTTGGTGCTAGAGCACTATCTCCACGCACCAGCCGTTATCTTCAAACGACACCTTATTGGAGTGCCGCAATTTCTTTAATTTTTCTTTTAATGAAAACTAAAGATACCATCACAACTAATTTGTTAGTTAAAAAAAATTAAACTTTATCAAATTAGTCAGGCATAAATTCGAACAATTTTCAACCAATTAAGAATTTTAATCATGTGAAAATTGTTCAAACATCTTATCAATCCAAATAATTTTAATAACTTTTTGTTTGAATAAATAAATTATTAAAAGAACAATGCTTCAACTTAACTCTTAAAAATCCAGTAATCATCCATGCAAAACTTGGTCTGATACCCCTTGATGGAAATTTTAAACAAATCCTAATTCATGATTATTCTAAAATAACAGCTATAAAATTCCAGAACAATCAAGACCAAAGATACAAGCATAGAAGAAAACCAAAATCTATAAAGAGATTAGAATTACCTTGAACAATTAGATAGATTCACCATATCTACAAGAAGTTGTGTAGTTTGTGGTCTTCCAAAACTATGCAACTCATACCAAATATGGACAATACTCTCTGTTTGATGGGGAACAGGAGGCTCAAGAAACATAGTGTATTGAAGACCATAACCATATATTTATAGGTTAATCCTAGGATTTCCCATAATCCCCTAGGATTAATGGGCTGGTTTCTACTCAGCAACCCACACCACTAAATGGAAAGTCGTGAGCCCATAATCAAGATCACTCATATGCCCATTAAATAGCCCAAATATAATTGCTCTTTAATTTGTTACCCACATATGAATTAATTATTAAATTAATTCCAACAAAAAATTCAAGGGCGATCATGTGGTGTTTCTTCAATTTTTGAAGCAAGCTCTGTAAAAGTAAAAATAATAAGCAATAGAGAATATAGATTCAAAATGATACTAACATAATTTAATAAAAAATTGGTAGAAAATATATCCAACATTATAAAATAAAAATAGACTACATAATAAGCTCACTACCTACTTATAGAATGTGGTCCACTCTCAAGAAACTAACTTGAATTCATGGAATCGTAAAGAGTTCTCATATAGATGCTTTAACTGTGCTCCAAATATTGCTTCATTTTTTTTTTCTTCTTTTGAGAAGAATCCAAACTATCATTGAGAAACATGAAAGAATATAGAAAATGAATACAAAAATCAATCTCAACAAAATGGTAACGACCCTACAAGAAAGGATTCCAATCCAAAAGAATAACACTCAACTCGTAGTTATTAAAGAATAACACGTAAGATCTTTTTCTTTCCCTCGAATCATTCACACAAAACCTTTCTTTCACAAAAACAAAGAAGCAAAAAGACAATACTAAATGGTTTTTTAGATTCTCCAAATACTAAAGACTTTACCCAAATAAAACAGATTTATGAACAACACAGATGTTGAACAATAACAAGCAAAAACAATCTACTTATCCAAATCTTGATTGGCTACCTTTGCTGCAGGATAGCCACACAATTCTCCAACTAGTCATTGAACTATATGCATGACACATGTAAAAACTAAGTCTTAATTGACTATCTTTGCTGCAAGATAGCCACACAATTATCCAACTAGATTTTAAACTATATGCATGGCACAAATATAAACACTAAGTCTTAATTGACTATCTTTGCTGCAAGATAGCCACACAATTATCCAACTAGACTTTAAACTATATGCATGACACAAATATAAACACTACATAAAACCAATCACAACA